GACGGCGGCGCGAGGCAGCTAGCCGGCAGTAGCGGCGGCGGGCGGCGGCTGCGGGGGCTGCGAGTTCTTTCTTCGATCGAGCACCCGGGCGTTCTTCGACGTACGTGCTCAACTTACTACCGCACCCGGCAAGCTTGCACTGCTCCGCCGAACGTGTGCGGAGCCGACTCTTTCGAGGGAGAGAGCTCACCTTTCTGAGAGCATCGACGAGACCCAACGTGGAAGCCCTGCTGCTTGGATGACCTACCCGGCAGCACCGCGACGCCGAGGAGGCGCTCGACATCTTCGAGAACCCGGACGGAAGGCGGCGGCGCGGGGCCGGGTGACGAGGCCGGCGACGAGGAGCGGGAGCTGGCCCTGCAGCGCCCGGGGCCCCACGAAGAAGGCGCGGGCTCCGGCACCGGGTCCAGGGGCTGCCGCGGCTGGCAACCCCGCATGTGGGCACTCTTCGAGGATCCCTACTCCTCCAGAGCGGCCAGGGTGAGTGGCAGGAGCCTGGGTCATGGCCCAGGTCTGCAAGGAGGCGCGTGGTGGTGGTTTTTAAACACAGAGAGCACCCTGCCCTCAAATGACGTAACTTTTCCTGTTTAACCAACAATTCCAAATGACAAACAAACCAGCAAAACTCTCTCTCTCTCTAAATCTGTTTCTCTCTCACACACACACACACACACCCTCTCCCCTGCATGCCTCATCATGAAATTGCACACACTTGACTTCTTCTTGGACCAGCCTGCTTTACTGCACCCCCTCCCGGCCAGTGGGGGGCCCTTAGCTGAGCTCTTCCAACCCCTTTTCTTCTTCTCCCCACCCCCCTACAGGGTCAGAGTCCTGGAGAGCCACACGTAGGCCTTCTGCTGGGGTCAGGCAGGGTTTAGGGAAGCAACTCCAGTGTCAAGCGCCCACTCTGTGTGGCAGCCCCTAGATGCGCTGCCTCCAGGTGAGCCCTCTCATTTAAGCCCTCCAGCACCTCAGTGCCCGGAGCTGGAGTTTCAGAGAGGCGGGCGCCGGCTTCGGCCTCTAATGCTCATAAAAGGCAGAGCTGGGACCAGAACTCACGCCTGTGGTCCGGGTTGGGGAGAGGCCTCTTTTCAGGGTGCCCCATCCATGCCCCTGAGGCTTCCTGCACGCCTGGGATGTGCTGGGGTGAGCGAGAGTTAGACAGGAAGGTGCCTGATGTCTGGGCCCTGCAGGCTCCCAGGCCAGTGGCCAGCGCAGGCTGCCGGGTGATGAGCCCATGTTTGTTGCCGCTTCTTCCTGCTGCGGCACCTCTTGGCTTCCCAGAAAGCCCTGGTTCAGGGTTCTGCTTGAAGTGGGTGTATGGGGTGGGGGTGGGGGTGGCTTAGACCCTTCCCCAAGTCAATCCAGTTGCCCCAAACCCTCTCAGGTGGAAGGCGGGGGTAGGGGGGCGGTGAGGGAGACATGCTTGGGCAGCTAGAAAACAACCATGAAGGATTGCTTAGATTCTTTGAAAAAGGACCCTGGGGCCTGGTGTCTGACCTCCTGGCTGGGGTCTGTCCGGGACCCACGTGTGGGTCTGGGGACTGCCTGCTGCTGTGGAAGCTGGTCCTGTCACCTCTGGCATCCCAGGTTGTCATGCTAGTGAGTCTGGAGCCCTGCTGCCCTCCCAGCACCCCCTGTGCCGGCCCTCAGCCGGGTCGGGTCGTGGAAGGAAAAGTTCCCTTCCTCAGCCCTCCAGGGAGGGCAGGAGCTGGGGATGGGGCTACCGGGAGGGGCCAGGCTGGGCTGGACCAGGGCAGGGGGCTCGTCTGCCTGGAAGAGAAGGGGGAACAGAGGGCTCAGTGGCCATGGAAGCCAGGCTGGGGCTGTGGGCGTCCCAGGGCAGCCCCTGGAAGCCGGGGACCTTTGGGCCTGAGAGTGAAGCTAGTCAGCTGCCCTTGTTTCTTCCCTGCAGCCCGAGACCCGCTCAGAAGGTGAGGGCCCAGCGTGCCCCGCCTGGGTCTGCTGCGAGTTCTGTGGGCCTCTCCCAGCAGTTCCCCGACCCGGGCTGTGTGCACTAGGGGGGCAGAGACAAGCAGGGTTCATTCAGGCTCTTCCCAAGTGAGGGGCAGGGGAGCAGGAGGCAGGCTTAGCTGGATGGAGGTGGGACAAGCCGGGCAGGCGGGGAGGGGGGAGCTAGGCCTTCTTCCTGAGCAGTCTAGGGCCTCTGGGGACTTCCACCATCTCGGGTTCCTCCTTCTTGGATCCCCAGGGACTGTGACATCAATGAGTTCATTTTTTCCTTAAACTCCTCAAAGAGTGGCCCAGCCGGGGGGCTCTGAGTCAGCTCGGAGCCGGGCCAGGCCCTTGAGGTCGGCCAGGAGCCCACATCCTTTGCCCTTTGGGTATAGAGCCCCGTCAGCAGGGCGGCCCAGGTGAGGTTGAAGATCGGGGCGAGGCAGGGTTCACTCTCCCCAGGAAGCAATGCCGCGTCAGGCTTCAGAGCCGGTGAGTGTCTCCTCAAAGACACTGACCGGGCAGCAGAGCCGGCCACCCGCCCGCGTGGAGTTCCCGGCCGCTGGTCTCTGAGACGGATGTGCGCAGCTGCCCGGGCCTTGGCGGCGCCCTGCCCAAGAGCGCGTGCCTCCTGCGAAGGAGCCCGGGCCAAGGCGAGCCGGCAGCTGTTCCTGGGACGCAAATGAAAATAGAGAATTAAAAAAGTGAATAGCTGTTTGTTGAGCCCTCCATGCACATGCTCTGCACTAGTCTCTAATCCCCCTAATACACAGGCAGAGGAGGTATCCTCCCCTTTAATAGCTTGAGGCTGCGAGAGGACAGACCTGTCAGATCGCACAGCCCAATCATGGCAGCTGAGAATCAAAGCCAGGGCTCCCCGGCCCCCCAGCACCCCCCTCCTCCCATTACAACAGCTTTTCTCCCCTGAAGGAGGCTGTTTTCCAGGACTCTGGCCTGGGAGGTGTTCTGAGGGTGTGCGCCTCCTGTGGGTGACATCAGAAAACCCCGGGGCAGACGGTGACGTCAGAAGTGACACTTTCTCACCCCTGTAGGTCTGAGGGTTGGGGGGCTGTGCCCGCCCTGCTCTGACCCTGGGGTCTGTGCCCGTACCTTCCCTGGCAGGGCCTGCAGCACTGCGGCCCGTGGCCTTGGGGTCCTCACCGAGGGCCAGTAGGATCCAGGAGCCCCAGGAGCAGGGCTCTGCCCCAGGCATCCCTTCGCACCAGCATCTGGCACAAATGACAGGAGCAAACCAGATACCAACAGGAAGGGAACTGAGCTGATTGTGGGAGCCTGTTGCCTAGCTACCGGCCTGGCCCAGGCAGCTCTGAGTTCGGGGGGGCGAGGGGGGTTCACCCTGCTCCCTTCACTGTGGCTGGACCCATAGGTGGCGGTGCTGTGGTTCCTGCCTCCACCTGCCACTGTCTCAGTCCCAGGGAGAGTGGGGCTCGGCAGCAGGCAGGGAGGCTCCCAGACCCAGAGGGACCAGTGGCGGTTTGGGCAGCATCCGGAGCTGCAGTCGGGCCTTCCTCCTTTCTCCGGGCGGGCAGGAGGCCGATGAGTGGGCCCGGGACGCTCCCTCCCCCGCCCCAGTCTGCAGAGGTGCCAGGGGCTGGGCTCACTGATCAGCCCTCTTCAGGGTGATAGTCCTTTGGCTAAATCAGTCCCTGGATTGGGTTTTCCCACGATGTCGCCCTTCTACATGGAGGACAGGACGCACAGGATCCCGCCGCCCCAGGAAGGCCGCTGGAGCTGCGCCTTCATGTCCATTAAGCATCCGCCAGGTGTCAGGTGTCACCTCTGCTTTCTTCCGGCGTCTCATCTGGCCCATGCGAGGCAGGGATTGTTACCGGTTTTCAGGGAAGGAAACTGAGGCCCAGAGGGGCCGGCTCAAGGTCACACAGACCTCATGAGTCCAGGCTGCTTCTACCGGGGCCTCGGCGCCTCCTGCGGCTTCTGCCGGAGGCCTGTGACTCAGGAGGGCTCAGTGCTGCCTCCCCAATCACCTGAGCTGGGCACTCTAGGTACTCCCCTGTATACACTGTCTGGTTGTAGTCGAGCCTTGATTGCTGTTGTCATCACTGGGAGGAATTGACCTCCAGGCCAATTGACTGTGAGAACCAGCTGTGACTACAGCAAAAGAGCTGCTGTGCAGGATACACCCCTATGGAGCAGGACTTGCTTCAGTGGGACTTTGGTGCTCACCAGGTCTGCCCCTTGAGTGTATCACTTGTGAATGTGGTAGAGTTGTAATCTAGTATGGTATTAAGCTGTCCACAGGGTGCACTGTTTCTGGGGTCTTCCGGGAGGTGTAAAGTCAGCCACTGCCTGTGCCCTGTCTGGGGCCACTTGGCACAAGCTGCAGATGGCTCCTATTTGTGTTGGGCTTGGAGGTGCCCAGGAGAGGCCAAAGTGTGAACAAGGCAGGCTGCTGCTACTGCCAGGCCTGGGGCCACTTATTACAAGGTATGGGGTATGCTGACACCAGCTGCTGCTTGTTTGAGAGATTTTAGGAAAGTCTGAAGCTTGATCCAGGACAGGCCTCTCATATGGAAAAGCCACTGCAAACAGCTTGAATGGAGCTGAAAATTCTGTGGACTGGGGTCTTAGGGGTCACTGGGGTGGGTTGACCAGTGTGAGCCAGGTTGATGGAGACTCAGATATGGTGCTTGCCAGTCAGCTCTGTGACAGGGAAGGTTTCAACATAGGAACAATGACCTCTATGTGTACTTTTGTCTGGGAGAAAGCTGTCCCCAAGTTCTTACCCTGATGCCAGACAATTTATTTCCTCCCTGTATGTCCCTAGATCCTTTCAAGCTGCTGCCCCAGCACTGGAACTCAGAGGGAGTGAGTCCAAGTAAGTCAGATGCCTGCACTGTAAGAGGAATTGCCTGGTCTCCAGCTGCCTCTGTGTCACTCAGCCACAATCCCTGCTGGTTTTTATAGTCCAAGTTACGGGGACTTCTCTTCCCACACTGGAACCCTTAGCTGAAGGGTCTGATGTGTGGCTGGGACTCTTTACTCCTCACAGGATAAGATATTCCTCCTGATTAAAAACACACCACACGTGTGTGTATGACCAGCCCCTTCTTTGCCTCTCCCC